ATTCTCATTTCAATAATAAATGTATCAAGGCTATGATTTTTTAAAAAAGTTGATACTGATTTTAGTAAAATGAAATGGATTTATGTAAAATTTGTTGTTTCTCTTCTCTCATCATGAACTGCTTATTTTCACAGAAAATTATTTGTACTTAGTAATTTTTTTAAAGACTTTTTATTTGCCCATTTGAGAGAGAGAGAGGGAGTACGTGCCTGCAAAAGCATATGCAGGTTGGTGGGGGAAGAGAGAGGGGGCAGAAGGAAAGGAAGAAATAGACTCTCCCCTGAGCAGGGAACCTAATGCAGGGCTCGATCCCAGGTCCCCAGGATCATGGCTGGAGCCAAAGGCAGCTGCTTAACCGACTGAGCCACCCAGGCACCAGGTACTTAATAATTTTTTTTTTTTTTACAGGATTTTATGTGCTATACCAGGAAGGACCATACTTTTATGTACAGAAGTGAACATATTGAGTTTCATAATTCCTGTTATAAAACTGTTTAAAAAAGGTAAAGGTGTGTTTGCAGTAGGCTCAAGTCCATATATGTTAGATTTATGTCTAGGAAAAACCACAGAATTGAAGTGACAGTGAGTTGTCATATTTATACTATATTCTGTTAGATGCCCAAATAATTTGCTGGTCTTGACTTAGTCTTCTTAAAAACTGGGGCAATATTATAATTGAAGTTATGTTTATCTAAAGGAAACACTGAAGTTTAGGATCAGTGGCTTCTTCAACAGATAGAAAAATAGTCTTATTTCCACTTAAAGCACAATAGCAAAATACGGTAATTGATGATACAACAGAAGTACTGCTCTGGAACATGACTGTGGATAATCTCAGTAGATCAGTTAATGAAATGAGATTCCAGGCACAGCTCAGGAGACACGGGGTTAGTTAATAATGACATTCAGAACAAAGTTTGAGGCAGACAACTGGTGCGGATGGTCAGTGACACCATGAATGCAACATTGCAGACAACTGGAAGAAGGAGGTCAGGCAGGATTCATGGATTCAGGATTCATGGGTAATTCAGCACTGCGGACAGTTCCCAAAGACAGGGCTTCCTTCCAGGCACTTAGAATACTTCTTTAGATTGCCAGATCAACTTACTTATTTCTACTCTCACTTATACCTACATGTGATCTTAATCCTAAAGGAATTATTTGCATTTAAGAGAGCTCTGTGGTCTGTGTTCCACATGAAGCCTACTCCTTCAGTCCTGACCTAAAGGTTCATATTGTCTGTTACTTGATTTTACATCAGGCTCACCACTGGGCTTTGTTCTATTAACTTAATTTTAAACTTGACTCGATATAAAAAGGTAAGGATGGGATCGTTCAAGTCATGACAAAAGAGGCTGTTTACAAAGACCTGATGATCCCTCAGAACCAAGACCTTTGGGCCATTTGCATGCAAAGGCATTCAGCAGCTATACAAAGCAGACTGAAATGAGACTTAGGAGTTGGTGCTGCAGAGAAAAGACTTCAAGAATCTGCTAAAACATTGCCTGGGATCATGTGGCATGACTGTAGATAGTAACTCAAGCGTGCTAAGGCCTTCCTTGCAGCCTCAGGTAAGTAAAAGAATTGTTCTTTTGGAACAAGTAATTGGAGCCAATTTCTAAGAGGCGGATCTGCAATTCAGGACAGTCCATCTTGTTTCCAGTAAATAGACAAACTCCATTATACCTACATCTATTCACCAAGATTAAAATTATTTACTGACAATGAGACAAAAATACATACATATGAGAAAAACTTAAAAGAATATATTCTTCCTCATAACAACTTTTCAGGTAGGTATTTCTTGTTTGAAACTGGGTAGTGGGGATGAACACTGTAAGACTGGTTTTTCTCAATGATGGGCATCTTAACTAAACATTTTATAGAGGACTTCCTTGATCTTTGTTAATAATAATAATAATAATAATAATAATAGAATGGGTTCCCAGTTCCTGGCAAGAAATGTACAAGTTGCTAAGTATTTATGAGAAAGAAGCAGCAGGGGTATCTCCCTACCTCCAACTGCATCAGTAGTCTTGATGTTCTGGTTTGTGGGCTTGACTCAGTCTTAAAGACCCAACATAGTTCATAGGTCTATAACCTTAACACCGAGAGTAACCCAATTTTCTATTTTCTTTAGTGGACTTGCAGATATCAAAGATGCATTTTTTAGTCTGGCTGAGGGCTTTAGAGTACTGGTAAGGTATGAGAATGTTCTAGCAAGGAGGAGGGAAGGGAACAATGGTCCAAACACTGCAGAAGGAGGAAAATATCACAGAAAAACTGGGACTTTACTGAAGAAACCACATGAGATACGGATATCATTAAAGTTTGACAAATATAAAAGCTCTCAGGTCTTTCTTTGTCTAGGTGAGTAGCACATGATTGTTATTCTATATATTCTGGAAGTGTCAACTGCAGAAGAGGCATTTCTCAGGTTTCCTTGAAGAATAACACACTAAGTGGTAACCCTGAGCCTAGAGCTTATGATCAATCCTGAAGGAATAATAGTGATTTTTATTACAATGTCAATTCTACTGGTTCTCAGCTTTAACTATAGAAAAATCCAAAGATCCTGAGATTTGAGAATGCTCCCTAGTTTTTCTTCCTAGATAGTTATGTGACCTGAAAAAGGAGTATCTTGTTCATCCAACTACACCTTGTGTATTTGCAAACAATGGTACTGATTCCCTGGAGTCATATATACAAGTCAGCCTTATTAGTCAATGATCAGTTCTATGTACATGGAGGCAATTAACAAGCTGGCACCAAACTATAGAGAACTAAACTCTCAACACTGGAAAGATGCCTAAAGTAGATTCAGGACAACCCTCCCTGGTTCACAAAACGTGTCTACATTTGAATGGTTTCAGGATAGTTCCCTCAAAATTTAAATGGAACCTAAAATTTAAGTAAGACTTTATTTTTAAATACTGCTATTAAATTTCATGACATCTGGTTTATCATGAAATTAGTGGAAATTTAACATGAACATTTGGTTTAATTTTTTCACCATCTAGACACAGTCTTTATTTTTAAAAACAAAAATTAAAGGTCATAATGTTAATCATACTACTCTTGGGATGCTCCTATATGTTAAGCCACTGGTTCTTTGTTACACAAATATAATATTTAAGTAAGGTAATTAAATACAATGCATTATTATTGCGGACATGCAAACTAGTGAATGCCACTAAATAATGTCACAAAGCCTACAGGAAAATACACTACAAAATTCATTGTTTATAAACTCTGACTTCTTTGATATAAGTCTTTTCTATGATTTATACAGATAGTTATTTCTTACATAGTGTAAGGCAGCTTATATGACCAACACAGTCTTTGTATTTAAAATATTTTCTCTTTCCTTTTTTTTTTTTAGATTTATTTGTTTATTTTATAGAGAGAGAGAGAGCATGAGCAGGTGTAGCAAAGGGGGAGAAAGAAGGAGAGAAGAGAGAAAAATCTCAAGCAGACTCCCCACTGAGCCCTACATGGGGCTCAATCTCACGACCCTGAGATCATGACCTGAGCTAAGACCAAGAGTTGGACATTAACAAACTGAGCCATTCAGGTGTTCTATATTCCAAATATTTTCAGTCAACTTCCACTATTATTCATTTTTGACAATGTGAACAAGAAACAATACTCATGTGTAAACCACTTTCTTTTCCTGGGTATTTTTGCCAAATTTCCTGTAAATGTGACAATAAGCAAGTAAATGTGTTAGCCATAAAACAGTCATGTGTCTCAGCCTAAATTACCGTAGGAGTGCACTAAGTAAAAGAAGAGATATTAATACTTCTAACAAAGTTAAAATATTAAGTTCTCAAATAACTATAGTCCACTGGGCACCCACAAGTAAATGAAGGAGTAAGTGCTAATGAACTCAGCTTATTTGCTGATGGTAGACCTCAGGTATTTTACGCACTAAGCAGCAATGTATATATTATTAGTTTTGTTTGTAATATCACTATTAATTATAGTATAGTAAAACTAGATTCATCTCTCAAGTTAATAACAAATATATAAATATAGTTCACACATAGAGTAACTGTGAAATCGGAATAAAAATAGTGTTCTCCATACTTTTTAAGTCTTATCATTTTAAAGTTAATGCATACACAGATAATTTCATTAGACACAAGCTATATGCATGTGGATGTCACTTAAATGTATAAATGTGATCACATTAACTTGTTATTCATATTTTTCAACGCTACCATTCCCCTTTAACAGCTAATTCTATTGAGGTTCAGACACACTAACTGGGTTATTTAGTATTTATAGTGGCTAAGTAATAAAGCCAGATTTGGAACAGAGAACAGATTCTGGCTCATGTTACAGTGCTCTTTCCACTGACACATACTCCCCACATTTGAGCTTTTAGTGTCATTTATCGTTCATGTTTGCCTCAGGTGCACGAGTAAGCTTGCTATTATACCAGTGCTTTGGAGAGCACACACAGATCATATTTTCCTAATTCTTCATTTTGCACGGGAGGCAAGTGAAAGCCAGTAAAGTGAAGAAACTGAAGAAAACCACACAGAGATAATGACAGGACTGGAACTCAAGCCCTGTGCTCTTTGAAATGCTCCCCAGAGATGAAGGTAATTTATTTGGAAGATCACGGCTTAGCCTCAGAATGCCATCCCAAGCCAACTTCAGTGGATATATACATATATGTCAGTATCTGAAGAGTAGAGTTCATCCAGAGGTAGCCTAACTATTTTTTTGGAAATACTTCCCTGAAATGACATCATTAATGTTCTCACACCAAAAACAGTAGCATATTGGAAATCTGGTATCCTGATGCATCCCAATCAAAGGAGAAAAATGTGATGCAGCAATGGAATACCAAGAGCAGTAGAGCTGTGCTTACCTTCATAAGTCCCACTTTCTAGGAGAGCACCGCTTTTCTCCAATTCCATAAAATCTTCAACAGTGATGAAAATGTAGTCCACTCCGGGGACCTCACCCTCCTTATGTGGCCTTGTGGTGCCTGAGTAAGGAAAATTGAAAAACAAAAGAAAGGCTCTAAGTGATTTGTTCTGAACTTTAGAAATACCACCGTACTTCTGAATATTCAATAACACTTGTTTATACATCCTTCGAGCTGGCAGTTTGCATTTGTCCTTCTGTTTGTTTGGAAACAGAAAATAGCAAGGAGTAAAGATGAAAGTAAGTATACAAAGCATTTTTCTTCATCAAGCTTATAAAGAGTTCATTGCCATGGAATGTGGTTGCATAGACTTTTTTCCAGTGAAAAATGCAGACCATTGTGCCTTTTTTGAAGGGCGTTTTGAATACTGGGCCAGGAGTCTGCTAACTCAGGAATTTACATATCTCACTTCTATGAATGAACCTTTATTGTTCTGTAGATTGCCTTGCTATGACATAAAACACAATGGAAAATAGAAATGTTAGCAGCATGTTGATTTACCTTTATATTTTCATGATCTGTTCCTTTGTGAGGGTACTTTCGGTTTTCATTTGTTAATTTGCACCAAAAAATAACGTATATTTGATATAAAGGAACACAAAATCTTTATTATTACTTAAAAATCAATTAAATAGTTGGAATTGGTGATCATTATAATTGAGGTACAATTATAATGCTAATAATATTTTCCTTCCTTCCCTCCTGCTTGCCTGCCTGCCTTCTTTCCTTCCTGCCTTCTTGCCTTTAGTTCTGATTGGACTGGGAGGTGACATGCTCCAAGGAGCCCCTTCATGGGTCCACCACTCCTGTTCCCTATAGAATGAATGGAGTCTCTGCAGCCAAGGTGACAGAAACATCCACCCAGGGCTCAGTGCAGCTGGACGGGAGAATTCAAGCTTCCAGACCTGCTGTCCAGTTCATGAGGCAGAAATGGAAACAGAGACAAAGCAAAGGCTGTCAGTTTGTTTTCTGGCCCACTTCCTTCCCTGAACATGCCTTAAGTTCTTTTCTTTTCCTATGCCACACAAATAAAACATTTGGTATGATCAGGTTGGAATTTCCATAATGCATATATGCAAATAGTTTACAGAAATATAAAGAGGTCAAATATATAAGCAAGTATTAGTACACTGGCAGGCTTCTTCATATTTAAAATTTCCTCCATATTCTCTGTATACTAAAAAAAAAATTCTAAACCCTTAAAATTTAATTTTTAGTCTATGAAATCTTTATGAACTAGGCAACGAAAGAGCCAGTTGACTCTCCTTTTGGTCTATTAGGATCAAATCTGAACTCCAAATGAAAGGCATAAACTCACGTCAGAATATTGAATGTGCTAGGGAAATCGATTTTTGATAAAAATGAATAATTTCCATTGAAAACATATTTTGAAAAGATTTGAAGGCATTATTTCCTAAAATTAAATTTTATAACCCTTCTATAGAGGTTACAAAATAATTTTTTTCCATAATCACATTTAATGACTTTCCCCTAAATTTGTTATTTCATTTTGTTTAACTGAGATACATTTTGCAATATTTCCTACAGCTTTTATGCTATAAAATATAAACCTCCCACACCTAGTATGCATAATGTCAAATTAATGTTCCTATGAGAATCTTAACTTTCAATATCCTGACTTTTATATGCTTAGCCCTTGTGAATTAAAAGCACATTAACATAGTTTTTGGCAATCAATTTGTTTTTGTTTATTTAGAACACACTCTAATCATTAAGAAAAATCACATAACAAAGATTCAATTTTCCTTCCTAATTTATCTGCATATTTCAGAAGGGACACGCTTTGATTAATTAACTGCTTGCAGCATGGTAATGCATTCCTAGCACAATGTGAGCACAGGACCACATGCTTGAAGGCAATTTCCAGGTCTGCTTCTTGACTGGATTTGCTTACCCGTGTTAAACTCTATATATTTGTGGTTGTGATTTTTAGGGAGAACCATCAGTACTCTGGTTCACTGGGCTGGCTTTCCATCGCTACATTGCACCTGAGGACAATAGGGCTGAGCTCTTACATTGGGGATACAGACTCCCAAAAGCTAAATCATGGTCACGTGTTGCTACGGACCTGCTTGATGCTGGCTGCCCATTTGGACTGGGGGCTCACCTACCTCACTATGGTTCGAAGAAGTTCCACACTATAATCCCAAAAGCTGCAATTCCCATCTTCGATACCCATCTCATATCCTCTTTTCTCATTCTCTTTTTATTTATAATATAACCCCCCAGTCTCTTGATCTTTTCTAATTTCCCTGGGAATACCAAATATGACTTTATTTGCCTCTCTAAATTCTTTTTTTTTTTTTAAGATTTTATTTATTTATTTGACAGAGAGAGAGACAGAGCAAGAGAGGGAACACAGACAGGGAGAGTGGGAGAGGGAGAAGCAGGCTTCCCCCTAAGCAAGCAGCCTGATGCAGGGCCCGATCCCAGGACCCTAGGCTCACGATCTGAGCCGAAGGCAGATGTCTAAAGAATTAGCCACCCAGGCACCCCAGCCTCTCTAAATTCTAAGGGGCCAGAAACAACCTAGAATCTCATCTTTCCTTTGGTTCACCTTTACCATTTCCCAACTCTTAATATGCCCCCAAGTTCAAAATCAGCTATTTCACTCATAGACGGTAGTTGCTACGGAAAACCATGAGCATCACTAACAAAGCACCCTACAAATTCAGGTTATCTAATGTCAGTTTAATACTACTGATGCTTGGTAATCTTTTTTTTTTTTTTTTTTTTTTTTTAAGATTTTATTTATTTATTTGACAGACAGAGATCACAAGTAGACAGAGAGGCAGGCAGAGAGAGAGAGAGGGAAGCAGGCTCCCCGCTGAGCAGAGAGCCCGATGCGGGACTCGATCCCAGGACCCTGAGATCATGACCTGAGCCGAAGGCAGCGGCTTAACCCACTGAGCCACCCAGGTGCCCGCTTGGTAATCTTTTTATACATCTTCCCTCTCTGTCACAATCCCACCATTTTCTAATATTCAATTGCTTTGACTTTCAGCAGAAGACATTAGCTCATTCTCTTTTTGGCAAAGTAAGAGATAATCTGGAGTCAAATTCCCTGAAGTTTATTAAATTGTACTTTCCTTTTCTGCATTATCTTTACCCTCAATTGGAATCCTCAATCCATCTTGCTAAGAAGAATCTCTTCTCTTCTGCCTTGTTGCAGCTTAGTTGTTTTTCCTTTCTTTTACCTCTGAGTTACATATACAGATATTTTTAAGATTCTACCATTCTACAGCATTCAGTGTTTAAATAAAAGCATACTGTCATCACCGCTCCCCACACTCCTCCGTTTACCCAAAGGTAAAGACTTTCAGCTCTTTTAGCGGATTCTTTCACTTTACTTCCATACATTTAAATACTTTATTTACGATGTCTCTTGTTTTTTCTTTTTCCTTGTATACTTCAGCTATTATTTCCTGACTTCTTGGTAGAGCAAATGAGGATTTAGCTCTTTTTTGCTCACACTTCAACACATCACTTTCTCCTTCTTACCTCCTCCCATTCTCCCAATAGAACAAACTTGTGTTTAGATTACTATTTAATGTTTACAATAATAATACAATGTAAATCTATTTCCAGCTGAAACTTGTACTAATTTTCCTTTCTTGCATAACTTTTGTTTACTTTAGACCTAATGTTTCCATTTCCAATTTTCCATATATTGATAGATAATTTAATTAACTCCCTCCTTGTTCGATAAATTGACTCTCAACATATACAAGCATATGTGATATTTCACCAGGTTTATCCTTTGAAGAAATCACTCCTGGAGCCTCTAATCTGCTCCAGTCTGGACTATGTTGTCCTACAACACAACTGCCATCCTGGGGTCATCCTTCACCACCATCCCGGGGATTCACTCTGCCTCTTCTATGTTGTATGGCTCTCTCTCAGGTCCCATGTCTCTTTTTGTGGTCTATTCCCCCCCCCCCTTTTTTTTTTTTGGCAGAGCACATCTGTCAGAAGCTTTCTATCAAAGGTTACATAGGAACTACATTTTTGAGACTTTGCATGTCTGAAAAAGTTTATTCCATCCTCGTGGGTGGCAAATCTGACTCAGCATTTCAGGGAAATACCATAATGAAAGCATATTTTCTCTACCGTGTTCCTCTGTTAATGTCACCACCATCTTTCTAGCCATATGCGCTTTGAACCTTTCCCTCAGAAAGGTTTAGCTGAAAACAGATTTACATGGTATTATACCATCCCTTGTTTATAAAAGAGGGAAGTGGGGGCGCCTGGGTGGCTCAGTGGGTTAAGCCTCTGCCTTCAGCTCAGTTCATGATCTCAGCATCCTGGGATTGAGCCCCGCATTGGGCTCTCTGCTCAGCAGGGAGCCTGTTTCCCACCTCTCTTTGCCTGCCTCTCTGCCTACTTGTGATCTCGCTCTGTCAAAATAAAATCTTTAAAAAAAAATAAAAAATAAAAGAAGGAAGTGGAACCATGGTGTAGCAGAAGGGTTTTCAAAGATGGAATTCAAAACATCTGCATTCTATTTTTGTTTTAATAATTTAGAGATGTTGTTCTGGATTAAAGCATAAATTCAGTTTATTTTTATGTACATTCTACACCCAGGGTGGGACTCTAATTCATGACCCCAAGATCAAGAGTCACATAGCTCTTCCAACTGAACCAGCCAAGCACCACCACCTACAGATGGGCAATATACACATGAAAAGATGCTCAACATCACTCATCACCAGGGAAATATGAATCAAAACTGCAATGAGATAACACCTCATACCTGCCAGAAGGGTTAAAATTAACAACACAGGAAACAACAGATGTTGACAAGGATGCAGAGAAAGGGGAACCCTCTAACACTGTTGGTGGGAATGCAAACTGGTGCAGCCACTCTGGAAAACAGTATGGAGGTCCCTCAAGAAGTTAATAATAGAGGTACCGTATCACACAGCAATTGTACTAATAGGTATTTACCCAAAGAATACAAAAGTAGTAATTCAAAGGGATACATGCATCCCAATATTGAAAGCAGCATTATCTACAATAGTCAATTAAGGAAATGGTCCAAGTGTCCACCAGTGATGTATGGATAAAGAAGATGTAGTACATACATATACAATGAAATATTCCTTAGCCATAAAAAGAAGAATGAAATCTTGCCATTTGCAATGACAGGGATGGAGCTAGAGAGTATTATGCCAAACAAAATAAGTCAGTCAGAGAAAAACAAATATGATTTCACTCATATGTGGATTTTAAGAAACAAATGAGCAAAAGGAAAAAGAAGAGAAGGCAAACCAAGAAACAGACTTTTTTTTAAAGATTTTATTTGTTTGTTTATTTATTTATTTATTTGACACAGAGAGAGAGAGAGAGAGAGACAGCAAGAGAGGGAACACAAGGAGGGGAAGTGGGAGAGGGAGAAGCAGGCTTCAGGCCGAGCAGGGAGCCCAACGCAGGGCTCAATCCCAGGACTCTGGGGTCATGATCTGAGCTGAAGGCAGATGCTTAATGACTGAGCCACACAGGCACCCCAAGAAACAGACTCTTAACTATGGAGAACCTCTGCAAACTAATGGTTACCTGAGGGGAGGTGGGTGACAGAATGGGTGAAATAAGCAATGGGGATTAAAGAATGTGCTTGTTGTGATGAGCACTATGCGATGTATGAAATATTGAATCACTATATTGTACACCTGAAACTAACATTACACTGTATGCAAACTAATTGGAATTACTTTTTTTTTAATTAAAAAAATAAAACATCATTCAGTCGATCATCAGTTGTCATATCCAATGAGGTAAATAATACATATGAAAGAGTATTAGAAAAAGTAAAAACACAAATACTGTGGACACATGATTGCATTCCTCTTTAGTATTACTAATAGTACTACTAAGAACAATACCATCTAACAGACATCACTGATGTTATCTTACTTTTGGAATCTACTGTAATTAA